TTGTTATTACATAGCCAAACAAGACAGTATCCAATAAAAGTTCTCCAAAAGTAAAATGATGCTGGCTTCTCAATAATAGTATAAGCCAGTTCTTCACAAACTATAATGTCTCATCCAAACAGTCCAATGTATTATAAAACTTGGTTTACGTGAGAAGCTTGTTTATAAGAAAAATGTTCCCGGACATTCCTTTCCTTGCTAATATACTCTGACATTACCTTAGGTTCTCTAACCTAACCTAGTAAGTCAGCACATGAATGTATTTTCAAAATGCCTGTTCTCTGTTGACACTTTTCCGGCTTCTTAACTGTATTTTCTTATTTTCTGTATTTTTGATCTCTGCCATTTAGGATCTTGTGAACCTGGGGAACTGTCCTTCCCAGAATTAACTAATTCCTACAGGTAATTTGCCTGCTAGCATTTCTTTGAGATGTAAACCAACCAATTAAGGTTCAACCATGTCTCCTTTTTTCAGATGTCTACAGCCTGGGACATTATTCCTTGCCTTAGTCACGACAAGGGACCACTTCTACACCAGAGCCCACTGAAATTACTCAAACTCCTGTTTGTTCTGCTTGCTTACTTTGCCCATTCCTTCCCTCAAAAAACACAACAAAGGCTCCTGCCCTTTCTGCCCATTCATCTCGCTTCCATGCTTGCTTGAGGCCCTGCGTGGCTGTCTCACCTCCTGTTCCTAGGGGACTGGGAATATACAGACAAAAGTCATCCTTCATGGCAGTCTTTTCCGTGTTGGTGTGTTGTGCTACACCTGCTCAAAGCAAATCCCAGGTACATGTTTAGAACAGAGACCAGGGAAGAGCAGCTGCAAATAAGATAGACCAAATCTGTATTCCAAGATCTACAAGATTTTTGAAAGAGTTCATATTTGAGCCTAGGGTTTATAAATTTGCACTGGAGAGGGCTCTGAAGTAAATAAAACCTAGGTGTGACCAAGCCCTGTTCTTTTCTTCCTCACATGGTTATTTCTTGCTAACCCATGGGGAAGAGGTGATGGATGAGAACTGGGGACTCAAGGAATTTAATCCTAATTCTCTTCTGCATGGATACAGGCCAAGCTTTACCTAGAGTAGACTCTACCTACTAACGTCTGGGCTGGAGAGAAAGGGCTCTCCAGAAGGAGTCTTTTTGATTTTATCTTGCCAGATGATTAGGAAGAGTTAGCAATCTCTTTCCTGAGGGCTTCCAGCCTCACCAGTGTTCCCCAAACCAAACTTGCAGTGGATGACAAAGGAAGTATTTAAAAAATTAAATGGAAGGGCAGCACCTGTAGCTCAAGGATTAGGGCACCAGCCCCATATACCAGAGGTGGCAGGTTCAAACCCGACCCAGCCAAGAAAAAAAAAAAAAGACTATAAAAATTTAAATGGAAGGTCAGGTAGTCTGATGAAGCAGTAGAGTGTGGAAGGAAGAGCAGTGGGGCCTGGGTCTAATCTACCCCTCACCTCGCCCCCAGGAGCACGAGGAAGAGGCTCTGTGGAGTCAGGCCTTGTGCTGGAGCATCTCTCAAAGATGTGCTCCTCACTCCTATTCTCCCCAGGCACCTTCCTCTTACCCTGTGTCTGCATCACCCTGGTGTCCTATCCTGCTCCCTTGGTAAGAGAGTAACTTCCTGCCTCTTCTGGGGTTCCTTGGCTGTGGCCAGATACCAATGAAATCTTTAGGGCGGCATCTGTGGCTCAAAGGAATAGGGTGCTGGCCCCATATGCCGATGGTGGCCGGTTCAAACCCAGCCCTGGCACCAAAATGCAAAAAAAAAAAAAAAAAAAAAAAAGAAGAAAAAAGAAAAGAAAAGAAAAGGAAAGGAAAGAAAAGAAATCTTTCCCTGTCCTACTTCTGCCCAGCTGGGGCAGGTGGACTCTGAGAGCCCTCAAGTTAGGGAGAGGCTGGCAGAGGCTGGTTCTCAGCCGGTCTCCCCACAGCGAGCACAGGGGCTAATCTCTTTAGTTCCCTTGAAGTAAAAATCCCTCACCATAGAAGCCATAGCTTCACACGAGGAAAGCATGTTCCTCCCATTAACATGGGTTTCACTGTGTTCTTTTCAAAACATTAATCCTGGCTTTATTAAGGAGATTTTGATTTCCTGGGCTTGGCTTGTAACATGAGTCATAGTTTCAACTGAGTTGCTTTGTCTTGGTCATCTGGGACAGCTTTCTGATCCCCACAACTCTTATCTAGTAGAAGGGCAGGAAGGAAAGTGTGTGAGCTCATTCCTCCTACTTTTGATTTTCTCCTACTTCACATATTCTTCCATTTATAATGAGAAGTCGTGGACAGTGGGTGGGATTGGGAAACAGTAGTATTGGGTATTTTTCCACTTTTATTTGTCAGGGTCCTTTAGGAAACAGCACAGAGGATTTAATTGCAGTAAATTTAATAAATGGACCATTTACATAGGCACAGACTTAAGGGAACTCAACAAAGAATGATAAAGACCATGAACAAGCAACAGAGGGAGGCCAGTCCTACCCCCACACCTGCAGAAGCAAGGGGGATGGTGGCATTACCAGACCCCAGGAGAGGAGTAGCAGCAGTAGAAGAAGGGAAACTTCTATTATTGAACAACTCTGTTTTTAAAAAGTTAACACTAAGCCACAGTAATATTTATTGAAAATTGTCCTCTTTTAAGTGACAGGGTTTTGTTGTTGTGTTTTGTTTTTGTTGTTTGTTTTGTTTCGAGACAAAGTTTCACTCTGTTGCCCAGGCTAGGGTGCTGTGGCATCAGCCAAGCTCACTGCAACCTCAAACTCTTGGGCTCACATGACCCTCCTTCCTCAGCCTCCTGGGTAGCTGGGATGATAGGCACCCACCACAATGCTCAGCCAATTTTTCTAATTTTAGTAGAGACGGGAGTCTCTTTCTTGCTCTGGCTGGTTTTGAACACCTGAACTCAAGCAATCCTCCTTGGCTGGCCTCTCAGAGGGCTGAAACTACAGATGTGAGACACCAATCTTGACCAAGTAACAGATTTTATCAAGGTTAGATTCTTTTTTTTTTTTTTGAGACAGAGCCTCAAGCTGTCCCCCTGGGTAGAGTGCCGTGGCATTACAGCTCACAGCAACCTCCAACTCCTGGGCTCAAGCGAGTCTCCTGCCTCCGCCTCCCAAGTAGCTGGGACCACAGGCGCCCACCACAACGCCCGGCTATTTTTTTTTTGGTTGCAGCCGTCGTTGTTGTTTGGCCGGTCCGGGCTGGGGATTCGAACCTGCCACCTTAGGTGTACGTGGCTGGCGCCTTAGCCGGATGAGCTATAGGCGCCGAGCCCAAAGTTAGATTCTTAAAGGGCAACTTAAAAGTTGAGATTTTCCCAGTTTAACCTGTAAGTTCAACACCATCTGTACCACTGCCCATGTTTTCACTTTCCTGAGATGTTTTGTTCAAAGGAGTCAGGAATCCCAGAGATTTTTATTCACTGCAGCTGCCTACCCAAATCAACTCAAGAGTAGAGAGAAAGTTTTGAGAGAAAGCCTGTGAGGAAATTAACTGCGAAAAAGGACTACCTAATTTCAGGGAGAAGAATAGAGATACAATGACATTCTTGTTACAGAATTACTAGCAAAAGGCGGCAAAGGAAGGGAAACAGTATAGAATTAAACAAGGAATATTTGCGGCACTCAGGAACAAAAAACGACTGAAAAACTGAAACTGGAAGGTCAGTGATCATTTTCCATTCTCCTCTCACCCCTTTCCCCTCTGCTGTGTATCCTGGGAAGCTCACCTGTAATGAATTACATTGGCTGCATGCTGGCTTCTGATTAGCTTCTGACTGGCCACTGGTGGACCCCAGGCAGAAGCCAAAAGGCTAGAAGAATAAGTTTGGGATATTTACCACCCCCTCCCCAGTCCTTCTCCCTGGTCCCTGACCTCTGTCAGACAAGGGTCTCTACATGGTTTTCCCTCTGGATTCCAGTAACCCTCTCCCCTTTAGGCCTGGGGCACTGAATGACCGTGTGATTTCCCATATCCTGCTGACAATGTCACATATAAATAGTTTTGTTCTTTATTACTTACCCAATTAGAATGTGCCATCTGTTTTCTGCCAGGACTCTGTTTGACATACTCAGTCCCATTAATCTCTCTCTCAACAAATGTTTATTGAGTAACTATAATACTATATGCCAAGCAAGAATAAAATGATAAATTGGATAGGTAAAGCCTTCTAGGGGGCAGTGTGGAGAGTGGAGACAGCCACAGGTCATTAGGGGTACTATCTTGATAACTGGGAAACAGGGACATAGGCAGACTCAGGGATGGTTCTTGGTGGAGGTGGGGATCAGGCAAGTTTAGAGGCACGGGCTTCCAGAAAAGTTCACAGCCAAGGACATCCAGGACCAGTCAGGTTTGGTGAGGGATTAGAGTGGAGGATGGGGCTGGAGTCAAAGAAAGCCTTGTACTGGGAAAGGGGCCCTTCTCTTCCATTTGCTCACTCTCCTCACCAATGGAAGAATAACGAGGCAGGTGAAGTCCGTAACCTCTTAACCTTAGCCTTTAATCCTGCCCCACTCCTACTTCCTTGGCCTACAACTCACCTTTTGAAAGTCACCCTCATACACCAACTGCACATTCTAAGGTCTTTCAAGATGGCCACAGGGCAATACGGTAAACTAGTCTTCGTTGATGAACTACAGAGGAGGGCAACAAGCCAACGACTGCAAATGCACTCTAGAATCCTTTTCTGTGACAGCAGTGTGTTTGTCTGGTGGAGAAGGGTGAGGATAATGTTGGACATAGGGCAGCTGCAAGCTTCACCTCACTGAGGCGGGGCTTTAGTTCAAATTGGTCAAGGTGGGTGGGCAGCTTTAAAATCCATTTTATCACACTACATAGGCAAGTCCAGGGGCCAGGAGGCACCAGTCTCCCCTCTTTCCTCAGCAAACTGCAAGGAGTTTAATTTCCAGATAAGACCAAGCCACCTGCTGTCCACACCACCCTACAGTTTCCCCCGTGACACTTCCAGAGACAGCCAAACCTGTAGGACGAGGGCTAAGTGGGCTTTATTAATTAAAAGCACACACAAAAACTCCATCCCACTGACCCTTCTCTTCTGTTAACCAAGAGCTCATGCCACTGCTCTACTCAGACTCCCCACAAACAGGGAAGAGCTAGGGGAAGAGTTCAAAGAAAGTGATGGGTTTGGAATATCCTCCCAGCTCTCTGAACAACCAACTGGCTCCGTGACAGAAGTCTTCTGCGAACTCGGCCAGGGGGCGGCCACCGCGCAGGGAGCGCTCTCCGCGGCCGCGTGATCCCGGGGGTGGGGCCGTTTCCAGAACCGGGGCCGACTGCCCACCCCTAGGAGGCCCCATATCCAGGGCTAGGCGCCGAGAAGGCCCTCCCTGCAGGCGGAGACAGCTTCAAGAAGTCGACGCCCGGGTCCCGCCGCGGGGCCAGTACTTAGACGCTGCCGCCTTGTCAAATTCCTACGGCCGCCGCGGTGCGGGGCATGGGACTCTGATGGCCATGGCAGGCTACTGGGGCTTCCTGGTGCTGCTGGTGTCGGCGCTGCTCGTGGGCTTCCTGTCGGTGATCTTCTCCCTCATCTGGGTCCTCCACTACCGGGAGGGTCTCGGCTGGGACGGGAGCAGCCTCCAGTTTAACTGGCACCCGGTGCTCATGGTCACGGGCTTCATCTTCGTCCAGGGCATCGGTACTGGGCGCTCCTGGGGGGACGGTGGAGAGGGCGGCGGGGGCCGAGGGTCTCCACGAAGCTCCGGCAGAGGGGGAGCAGAGTGCGGGAGCAGCGCGGTGGGGACGGGGCTGACAGCCAAGTCGGAGGGCCGGAGGCAGCTGGGCTGCGGCGGGGCGGCCAGAGCCGCGACTTGGGCGGAGCGGAGCGGGCTGGAGCTGCGCGGTGGAGACGCGCTGCGGGGGACGCTGGGCGCAGGGCTGCTGAGCCCAGCGGGGCTGGCGACTTCTGGTTAACTCCTTGTAGCGATCCGCTAGGACACCTTTCAGGCGCCTGGAGACCCCAACAACGAGGGGGGCGGCAGATGCGTGGGCCCACTCGTCCCGGGAAGCTGCCCAGAGCTTGTGCAATCCGGGCGCGCGAGAACCCCTTGGGCGAGGCCTTTTCGGATTAGGTGGGGGAGGGCGGCGGGGACCAAGGGAAGGCCAGAGTTTGGTGTTTTCTTGCAACGTCTCCAGCCTCGGGTGAAGGGGGCTGGTCAGCCAGCGGCCAGGGCGAGTGAAGCATCTGCTCCGGGTGTCACTCCTCCTAGAGTGTCAAACTCAGTCGAGCCCGGGAAGCTGCCGGGACTCCAAAGGGTGATTCGCTGCCCAAGCAGTCATTGGACAGTCTCGAGCCCAATTTGTTATGTGGCTGCTGCCTGGCGAAAGTTCCCGTGCAGAGCTTCCTGTTGAGTTCCAGCCCCGAAATTGGGGTGAGAGGTGCTGGGAAAGGGCCAGCGCTGCCCGGCTCCGAGGGAGCCTCTCTCCGGCGGCCCCGGGTGGCTGCGCCCGTGGGTGGCGCGGCGAGCCCGCTCCGGGCCTTCTCTGCGACCAGGCTGGCGCGGGGCCAGGGCTCTGTCGTGGCAGTGTTTACTGCGGTCTGTGGTGCCTCTCTCCGTGTCCTGACGGTTTTCTTCCTTCGCTGTGTGGCTGGGGGAACCTCTCGGTAGTGGCGCAAGCACCATTTAGGTGTAGCCACTTTCTAAAAAGTGAAGTCAAGGCCTTGACCCGTAGAAAGTGGTGGACTGGGTTTTTGTCGCAGGAAATGCTCTAGCGGAGTAGAAAGTGTTTGTCGAGAGAGACCCCCTGTGAGCAAGCTGCCTTTTAACGCTCAGTAACAAGCCTTCAAAAGAACGCTAACCCAAAATACAGAAACAAGAAACAACCCACTTCCCCCAAATCCCCAACTCTGACTTCATTCCTAAAGAAAGGGGGTTCCCCCCCCCTTTCTGTTTATTTTAAACCTGTGCGAGAGCCTTCCTCCTAAGTGTGGCCCCCACCCCTGGATTTACTGGAAAACTTTATTGAATCCCAACCCTCAGCCTTTCAAAGGCTTCCCTGGTATGAGATCGGCATCTGGGCGTGAGTACCGCTGGCCACCTAAGTCATTTCGTTGCATAATTCCCAGCTGTTTTCCCAGTAAGCCGAGAAAAACATTCTCAAGTTCCTGTCACCAGCTGCAGTCTTCGTGGTCCAGCCCTTAAGTTCTGCCAGAGCGTCAATACCTTCTGTTTGCTCGAGTGGAAGGACCAGTTTCTTCTCTTCCGTTCAACCCTTAGAGCGGCTCCTAATACCAAGAAACTTTTCCAAAGTCTCAGAATATCTTTTCATAATTTAGGGTAAGGGAAACACAAGTAATATTACTTGTTTCCTGACTTGCCGAAGAGGAGAAAAAGTCACAATGACTAACATTTATTGAGCGCCTTGTGTTATGCAGAAAGTGCGTTATCTCACAGGCCTTGGCAAACCGAGGCCAAGAGGAGTTAAGTAACGTTCCCATGAAAGTTGTTTAAGTCTTTTCGGCGGCCTTATTTTCAAAGTTCATTTCTCTGCTTTTATAGCAATATGCTTGTTTTCTGCACAATCTTTAGAGAATCAAAAAGCGTCATCTAAAATATACTTTGAAACTCTATATTCATGTTATAGACCATTACACAATTTTTCTAAAAGATTCTGATTTTCTCTTCACTTAGTACTTCTCTTAATCTGTTTGTGCTTACTTGGGACAAAAATGTCTACATGTGTATTTTGGAAATTTTCATCTGCTGCTTTTATGAAAACTTTGTTTTCTATAGGCGCGGTTACCATATTTGTAGTCCCAGTGTTTGTGCTGTGAACATTACCCATTCTGTTGACTGTTTGGATCCCAGATTTACAAAACACTTTAATCACGTAATGCCTTTAACTGGCATGAACATAAACGTCTTCATATATGTAGGAGACACACAGAGTTCTCCCCAGTTATTCCATAGCTTGGCCCACCCACCCAAACGCCCCACTCCAAGCAGCAGTAGGAAAGCTTCCAGTGCAAGGAATAAATAAGACTTTGACTCCATGGGCCATAAGGAAAACACACGTTACAGCCTAGCCCTATGTTATAGCAGACTTTTTTACTGTATAATTGCTGCAAGGAGGAAAATTTATGCCATGAGATTTTAGATCTCTAATAACAAACATGATGTAATGGAGTTCCCTTCTGTAATACACAAATATTTGGAGATATTTGAAGGGAAGTTTCAAGTACTGTATTACTCTAAGCATAAAATGCTTTACAAATACAATCTGTAAACAGTATTTGAGACTATGTGAGTTCAAGTCTTCTTTGAGACACCTTTGAGCAGTAAGCGCTGAAGAAGCAAGGCCAACAGAGAAGTTACAAAATAAGTCTCTTTCTCCCTCTCTCCCTCTCCGTTTCCCCTTCCACCCCCCTCCCACACACTCCAAGTAGATTTTTGGAAAATGTATAGATGTATTCTAAAATAAAGTATGACAGACTGCTGGAAATCTAAAACTAAAAGAAAAATTTAAACTAGTGGGAAATCTAGCTAACAAACTCTGACATGAATGGAGGAAGCGTTTAGAAGAGGCTTTGTGCTTCTCTGAAAGGAACATTTCCCATGAAATAAGTATACTACTGGGAAATCAGAGAACCAAACCTTGAAAAGAAGGCCACAGAATAGCCTGAAACACATTAAGGCTCTCAAAGTGGCAGTTGACCTTTTAAAAGGTTCAGCAAGGTGGAATGTGTTCTTTAGTAGAAAACTCAGGTAGCTGAATTTAGCAAAAAGAAATCTTAGAAATTCTATAGTCCTTGCTTTCCCACATGTAGAACTCTTTTTATCATATAAACTGAAGGGAGAGAAATTAAATAGTTTACTGATCCCGAGATGATTTTGTGAAAGGATTTAACGACATTTAAGTAACTTTTAAAAGACTGACAAAAAGAAATTAAGAGCAGTTCCTAAAAGGCCATTAATGTATCTAAAAGTGACTAAATTCCAGGATCTAAATTAACTTGAAGGGGCTCTTGGGGTAAAACCTGGCAAAAATAATGGAGAAACATTTACTGCAAAACGAGCCTTGGGGACACCACTGACAAGAAAACCTGTCAATCTGAGGAAAATGAGCGTTTTTATGAAGCATAAACAGATAATTCAAAGTAATTGTACGTCCAAAAAGTATCCACAAAAGGCTTCTGAAACATATTTTTTCTTATAAATCAATGAACCTGGATATTTTAAGAATGTGACTAGTGTAAATGTTCTGGATATGACTGTTTTGCTCACAGCTATATCCCCAGCACTTAGGATAATGACTAGAACTGGCACATGATAGACCAATTGGCGTATGAATGAGTGATTACTTCTGTACCATCATGAAATTGTTCGCAAAAAAAAAAAAAAAAAAAAAAAAAAAAAAAAAAACAAGAAAAAAGAAAAATACAGTGGCTTGGGTGCCCATAGCTCTGTAGTGAGGGCACCAGCCACATGCTCCAGGGCTAGCGGGTTCAAACCCTGCCAGGGCCTGCTAAACAAACAACGACAACAACAAAATAACCGGACATGGTGGCAGGCACCTATTGTCCCAGTTAGTAGTGAGGCTGAAACAAGAGAACCACTTGAGCCCAGGAGTTTGAAGTTGCTGTGAGCTATGACGCCACAGCACTCTACCAAGGGTGACAAAGTGAGACTCTGTCTCAAAAAAAAAAAAAAATGCAGCTTTACAGCTACTCATTTGTGACAATAATAATCATATCTAAAGTAAATTTGTCTTCCCTTCCCCCTAACAGTTCTCCTGTTAGCTAATTTAGAAGCATTCGGGGAAGAATGGACATCGTATTGCCCTGGAAGTGCAGCTTTGTTTTAAGGCCACCAACTCATTAGAATATTACTGCATAAGTATAGTCCCTGCCTCCTCTTGCCTTCATCAATTCTCCTTTCTTCTTCTGCATCAAGTTTCTCCCCCTACTAGAATATTGCCAACATGCTATACTCTCTGTCATCTTAAATTTAGAAAAAAAACAAAAATCACTCTTGACCCTGGATGCCCCAACCAGCTACTTCCCCAATTCTCTGCTGGCCTTACCACAGAACTTTTGAAATATTTCTCAATACCTGCTACACCAAAATTGCTCTTAAGGTAGTAACCAGTGGCCACCATGCTCCTAACTCTGATGGACAATTCTCAGTCCTCTTCCTGTTGGACTAGAAGGCAGCTTTTGACACAAATGGCCCCTCACTCTTCCTTGGTACATTTTCTGCCCTTGGCTTCTCTTTCTTCACTTGGTAATGGGGTGGCCTCCAGGACACGTGACCCTGTCAGCTCTTCTCTCTTCCCTGGTTGGTCTTTCTCAGTCTCCTTTGCTGATTCTTCCTCATTTTCCATGATTGAGTAAAGTTAAGGTGCCCAAGTGATCTTCTGATCACTTCTTTTTGTCTACACTCATTCCCTCACTAATCTCATCCAGTCTCTTGACTTTAAATACTGTCTATACACTGACCCTCCCATATTCCTGTATTCAGGAATACAGGGTCTCTCCCCTGAACTCCAGACCCAAATACCCATCTGCTTACTCACTGTCGCTCTGCTTGGATGTCAAATAGACATGTCCAAATCCTGGCTCTTGATTTTGCTTCTGCCTGCAAGGTCACTCCTCCCATAGGCTCCACCATCTCAGTAAATAGCAACTTAATCTTTCTA